CAGCAGTGCTTTAAATATGGTTCCTATAGATATTTAAATAATTAATAGTTACTGACAATGATTTCAATAGTAAAACCACTTTGCAAGCTCTATAGAAGTAGCCCATATATTAAAACAAATATAAGTATGAATTTCACATTCTGTTTTCTACCACAATAAACGAATTTATTGAGTTTGACATTTGTTATAACATACGATAACTAAAATGGTTCTGTTTTCCTTTTTTGTAGAAAGTTCAATTAATACTATGACACTTTTTATTATACTGACCTTTCTATGATTCAAACAAGTATGGGAATGTTATAAGCAAGTTTAAGCTACAGACAATATAATATATGCAATTTTGAAATAATTTGTTAAGAAATTAAAAAGCAAAATTTCTAGGGAAGTTAATATTAGGTTTATTAAAATGGTAGGTGTTATTTCAGTAGTGATTAAAATGCAGTGGTACGGTGTTTTGAAACGTATTTTTAGGTTCTTTATAATTTAGTCATTCACAAGTAGTCGTAATTTTAATAGTTAACTCAATAAATGAATGAAAAAATTTTAGAGAACATAAAGAACCATCAATCCTTGTATTTTTTAATAGTTAGGTTATTTCAACAAGTCTTGCAGTGTGGTTTTGCTATAAATTATCAGCAACTATCAAAGTAGTTATTTAATTCAATTTTGAAATAATTGTTTCACTACTATGTTTGGTATTGAAATGCACTCTAAACCACTATTGATATAAATATTTCAATAGTGGTCGTATTTCAATAGTGGTTGCATACTACGTTTAATTGTTATTGAAATTCACTCTCAACCAGTATTGAAATAATTATTTCAATAGCATTCGTTATTTCAATAGTGGTTGCAACACAGCTAGACAGACAGACAGAGAGATAGACAGAAACTTCGTTTACAGGGGCATAATGATATCCCAGCTCAAAATCCACAGACAGACAGACTCACAATACAGATGTGTACAATACAGTATTCTGATATTGTCAAAGCTGGACAATTCACAAGGTACCACACCACAGGTACATATATATTACTTGACCTACATACCACATACTTAACAGGTCAGTTATTGTCAAAGGGTTTACTAATTAGACTGTGTGGGATACATACCCAGCTACACACCATTATAGTCAGACAATTGTAATTGATGTAAGGAACTTTTTCAGTAAAATAATTTCATTTTGATTGCACTTTTGTGACCAGTGACCATATCATCTGGTCAGTGGCTGACTCAGCATACCGGTATTTCTGTCATTCAGAAATTACTTTTTTATGTTTATTGACAATTTCTAATAAATAATAGTAAATCATCCCCATGTCAAAATAAAAATTAACTTTTCTTCCCGGCCTGTCTGTCATAATCATGATAATAGGGAAACAAGGGGGGATGAAACATCCTATAGGTTTTATAGTCATTTCATGGTCATTTCAGCAATTTCATGGTAACTGTCAATAAAAGAGTATAAAATTCTTGCCTGGGATATAACTTTGTGATAAAGAATCGATGGAAATTCATTCTTGGTAGAGAAATTGTTTATTTCCAGCATATCTATACCCCAAAGGTCATTCTAGCAAGTTTAAGATTACTCAGTCTGATATAAAACCAGAAGTCTCTGTCAAGACTGTAGCTCTACTGGTTTGTACTTATAACAAAGGATGAGAAAAAAAGCCATTGTCATCAGACCAAAACTGTAGGAGGAGTAACGTTTTAAGGTAGTCCGATACTCAGATTTATATAATTAGCAGTTAAGTAATCAAAAATACTCATTAAAGTATCTCTGAATCACCAAAGTTATGCAAATTTATCCGCAGTATTTCTTTAAAGTTAAAGATTAAAGTTAATCATATTATATAAAAAAAAAAATAGCCAAATCTCCAACGTTTTTGTAAAAGAAGCGAATTGGAATATCAGCAATGCATTTGATTTTCTAATAGAAAATTGATCAACAAATATATTTTAGGTTAAGAAATGATAGGAATCCATGCATTTAGAGAAATCGTCATGATTTTCATACTTATTTGGTATTTTTTGTCTTCTATTTCCATCATGTGTTCTATAATACATAGTGTAAAAGACTTTGCTATCATAACAAGACGCCACAAATCAATTTTTATTTCTTATCATGCTAATAAGCATTTGTATCTTTGGCTGGATTCAAGAAAATCTCATTTCTCTAAAACTGCATGAATTATTTTTCCTTTTATTGGGTCCAAATGTCAATTTTTATAAGACTTTTTCTAAGACTTCAAAAAACATTTAATTTTATAAAGATGGATAAAATAAAAATTGTTGAATGAAAAAATTAGTTTTTAATTCAAATTAAATACTAATTTTTGGAGTTATCCTTCCTAGCTGAGGATCGGAAATCCTTAAAGGAATTTCACAGACATTTCTATCTCAAGTAACCATGGCAACACCGTTCATAGAAATCAAAAACTGATGCACTGAAATACTAGTATGTATCACACTGTAGTCTACTTGTTGCCAAGTTATATTGAATTCAGACCAAAACTGTAGAAGCAGTAGCGTTTTAAAGGAATTTCACAGAAAATTCTATTTTTAGTTACCATGGCAATACTATTCATCAAAAAACCGATGCACTCTTTTATGTATCTTAGTGTAGTCTACTCGTGTGCCAAGTTATATTGAAATCAGACCAAAACTGTAGAAGTTGTAGCATTTTAAAGGAATTTCACAGAAAATTCTTTTTTTAGTAACCATGGCTACAATCAAAAACCTATGCACTAAATAATTTATCTTAGTGCAGTTTACCTGTGCGCAAAGTTATATTGAAATCAGACCAAAACTGTAGGATGAGTAGCATTTTAAACGAATTTCACAGAAAATTTATTTTTAGTAACCATGGCAACACCGTTCATCGAAATAAAAAACGAATGCACTATTTTATGTATCTTAGTGTACGCTACTTGTTGCCAAGATATATTGAAATCAGACCAAAACTGTCGAAGGAGTAGCGTTTTGAAAAATTGTTTACAGTCAGATGGACAGCTAGACGGACGGACGGATGATGGACTCCTTACTATTGCATAAGCTCTTCTGGTCTCTGACCAGTTAAGAGCTAAAAATAATATAAATTATTTTCCAGTCTAAATCGTTGTAATGCAGAATTATTGGAAACTGGTCTCTGACCAGTGAGCTAAAAAATAATATTAAATTATTTTCCAGTCTATATCTTTGTAATGCAGAATTATTGGAAACTCATACTTGCTACAAAAATTATTTATGGCCTGAGGGTATGTCATGAATTTGACTCAAGGTCAATTTGGCGAGTAAAGGTAAGTGATAGAGAATGGTGAGAAAATATCTTGGTTATAACCTAGCAGAGGCGAATCTTTGGAAACTCGAATTACTTGTACAAAAATTTCCTCTGACCTGAGTGTGTCATGACCTTGACCCAAATTCATTTTCGCAAGTTTGAATATTCTCTGGCAGATAAAAAGATGTGGAATTGTTGTCAAATCAATACAACTTAGCAGCGGAGAAACATTGCAAACTAATACTTGTAAAATGTTACAAAAATTGTTCATGACCTGATGGTGTTTTCTACCTTGACACAATAGGTCTTCTGTGTAATTCAAGGTCACTGGTATAAAAAAAGGGCAAAATTAAAGTCTTTAATTTTCTAATGGAGTAATATTGTGCGTCCATTTTTCAATTAAATGTTACTTATCGGACATAGTTATGCCTCTTGGACTTAGAAAAATTACAATTATTTGTGGAAGGGGGCTTAAGAATAATATCCAATCCTAAGCCAGAAAGAATTTCTCCAAAAATTAATATTTAATTTTAAATGCATAAAAATTAAGCTTGGAAATGAAATTTTTTCATGCAACAATATTCATCTTTATAAGATCCAAGGATTTTGAAAGTCTTAAAAAAGGTCCTATAAAAGTTGAAATTTGTACCCTATAAAAGAAAGAAAATAAAGTTTTAGAAAAAATAAGATTTTCTTGATTCCAGCCTTAGATACCAATGCTTAATAGCATGATATAAAATAAGAATGAATTGATTTGTAGTGACCTGCAATAATAGCAAAAGCCTATTAGACTATGTATTATAGAATACATTACAGAAATATAAGACAAAAATGCCAAATAAGTATAAAAAGCGTGACAATTTCTCTGAATGCCTAGATACCTATATTTTACCTAAAATATTTTTGTTGATCAATTTGCAATTAGAAAATGCATTACTGATATTCCAATTCGCTTTTTCTGCAAAATATTGGAGATTTGACAATTTTCCCAATATAATATGATTAACTTTAATCTTTAACTTTAAAGAAATACTGAGGATAAATCTACATAACTTTGTGGATTAAGAGATACTTTTATGAGTATTTTTGATTAACTGCTAATTTTATAAATCTGAGAAACAGACTACTTTAAGTGTTTTACAAACATCTCTTGTTTATTTTTAGCCCTTCTGTGCCAAAGGCTCAAAGAGCTAATGCTATGGCCATTTGTGCAGTGTGCGTAAACTTTTTAGTATATCATTCGTATATAGGTCGATGTAACAAGTGCAATATTTTAATTCCTACCATGCTCCAGAATAAAATAAATATTTATACTCAATGATTATTATTTACTGAGTATTATACAGATTTATACCTAAGTTATTTGAAAATAAATTATATTTTCTATCTCCTTTAAGGAATGGTGCATATAGACCTTCTAGTTTGTCATTTGACATTTGACCTGGGAAAGAATATCTCCTAAAAAGATATTTGGACCCATGCTGAATACAATTTACTGCAAAACTTAGCTGACTAAGAGGGAGACACTGAGAAAGGAGCAAGATATGGACAGACAGACATGGTGAATACAGTATTTTCCCTTCAAATATTTTTAATGAAATAAAAAAAATACTTGTTTTAACAATTTTTATTTTTCTAAAATTGGTGATTTTCTTCACAAACATTTGTATGTAATAAAGAATAATAAGAACTTGAAAATCTCGAGATCACGTGACACCAACCGGAGATGGACGCTTAAAAATTCTGTCCGGTGTTTGGTCTGTTTTTGGTGCTAATTTGTTGGGATTTTTATTCCTGTCACTTGAATTTTGGACAACATACGTTCGTGAGTGTCTGGGATACCTTTTATATTATATTCTGTGAATTATATACCCCGAAAATGCAAAGGAGAGGAAGATCAAATAGTACAAAGAAAACGGCTGATAAGAGTTCACCTATGGGGGCAGGCAAGACTATTGATACGAACTCACTACAAAGCGAAAGCCTTCCAGAGTCGGTCCCGTTAGATAGTGAAAAGGGCAGTGTAGCGAGATCACGGTCTGCTAATAACAAAACTGACGATCATGACGCTGAAGAACACAGCCTAAATGCACAGCTTAAGTATGTCTGTGAACAAGCAGAATGTAATTATAATGAAATATCTACACTTAGGTCAGAAAACGCCTACTTGCGCAGAGAGGTAGAGCTGCTGCGATCAGTGGTTATCAGGATTGACAGAAAAATGTCTGTGATGGACAATGAAATCACTGATTTGCGAGCTAGGTCTATGCGTGACAATATTTTAATACATAACTATCCATATTCCCATAATGAAGATCTTGCTTCTACTATGCCAGAAATTTTTAAGCAAACACTAGGGGTAGACGTCAAATTCGTTAGAATTCATAGAAACGGAGTTCGTCCTCAGCACTCGGATCGACCAGTGTCTATCACGGCCAAGCTGATGGACGGTAAGAAAAAAGACGAAATTCTCAGCGCCCAGAAAATTAAAAAAATAGCGAAGGTTCCCTTGCCGTTTTACATTACCCCACAATAACCTCTGTCCATTGTTTCTGCCAGAAATAAACTTTTTGACAAATCAGATTCTTTCAAAAAACAGAACATTACTGTGAAAATGTCAAGAAATAGCCTCACTTTACCAAATGGCGATAAATATAGCGAGGAAGTTCCGCTGCTCACCAGTGCAGATGTTTTACAAATCGAATCGTCTGAAACACAGAAATTAGATGACATTCCTACAAAAAGCGTAGATCCTGTACGAAAAAATGGATCTGAATTCTTTGCCATTGGATCTGAGGTAGACTCGGTGGAAAGTGTTCAAAACTTCTACAAGAAGGCCTGCATCGACCCCTATGTCGCCAGTGTCGACAGCAGAATTTTAGTTTATAGATTCCGAGAAAACGATAAAGTGACTGAAAACTATCATGATGATGGTGAACATGGAGCGGGTCGACGCCTCCTTAAATTCATGCAGGACAACCAAATCTTCAACGCGGCTATCATTGTGACGAGATGGATGGGGGATCATATTGGACCCGAGCGTTTTACCATCATGGAGAACCTCCTGAACGATGTTGCGAATCTACTATAGGAACAATAAAAAAAACTATGTGAGTGAACTAAAGTGTGAATAGGGACTTTCTCTAATTCATAACATCAATATATTGTTTTCTTTGGTTCAAGTGCTTTTTATTGACTATTGCGGAAAATGCCACCGTATGGTTCTGGCTTCGGGGCCACCAACCCTGAAATTTTCTCACATCTGAGATTTTACAGAAAATCAGAGATTTTCTGACCAAACTGTGCCACCAAATAAATATTTTTCAAACTCACACTATTCTTTTGAGTTTTTTTCTTATATCTTATATATTTTCAAAAGCGCGTGCCACCAACGTTTTTTCCGACTCTGGTGAGAAAAAAATCAGAGTTTTCTCTGAAAATCTTGAGTTTGGTAAACAGTAAGCTCAAATAAAAAAACTCACGTGAAATCACTCACCAAAATGGCTGCAAGCTTTGTGAGAAGGCGTCTGCAACGTCGTCGGCGAAGAACTATACGTGTGCCTAGGAGGATCTTGGATCGTTCAAATCCACTGGAAGGTTTAGGGGATGGAGAGATATTTGAGAGATATAGGTTTTTCCCTGCGACTATTTTCTTCATTGTTGACATGTTAAAAGATAACCTTGCTTTCACGAATCTACGAAATAATCCACTTACACCCCTTCACCAAGTCTTGGTCTCGTTGCGATTTTTCGCAACAGGGTCTTTCTACATCACAATTGGAGACACTTTGAATGTTTCAAAGAGTGCAGCTGGTAGGGCGATAAGGCATGTCACGGACCTTCTGTGCCAACTTACGAGGCGTTTCATCAGCCTTCCCCGTGGAGAGGAGCTGCTGCATATCAAGGCAGCATTCCATAAGATTGCCGGTGAGAAAGCTTGTCTGCACATGACCATGACCTTCACTTATTCTGTAGCTTGAGCCCGATCATTCACGCATTTCACCACATAATAGTAAATTTAAAACATAAACTAAAATATAACACAAATGTATCATGCAGTCTATTCACACGAAGTTCTCCATTTGTACCTAAAGCATGCACATTTTTACAAGCACAGAAAAATCCATATATCAATCGTAAACAGTGCACTAGTACTATTACATGTACCATAATAAATTAATCGTCATATAAAGCGCCTCAGTACATACCGAAAAATGGGATTTAATGGGAACGCTTGAACTAAATCTGCCCTCGAAGTAAAATGACGTTTTGTTACAAGACATGTATAATTTATGAAGACAAATTAAAAACATATACTTTACACAAAGCACCCTAATGCCAAATGAGCTTAAAAGTGGTGCATGGCCCGTAGTGACATGCATTATTAAAATTTTATAAAAACCATAATCAATGTCAATATTTTGATGAAAAATTAGATCAAGGCTTTATATCATTAAAAACAAAGTGGTTTCATTCTGTTGAATTACATGATTTAATTGTGGGGGCTTTAAAAACAGGGGAAAGGGGGAGGGGCTTTATGCCTTAGTCAAAGGGGCGTATTATGGGGCAAATGCGGCATTAAAGATTTTTCTCATCTTCATACACAACTTCACAAATTATTTCATTCTATATACATATATTAACATCATGATAGAATTAATATGGCTTGATTAAAAATTACGAAGATGAAAATGCATACTTTTATTCATTACACATGTTAAATACCATATATTCTGGATTTTTTTTCTTGACTTTTTAAAAAAAAAAATTATTTGCAATTAAGAGAAATTTTTCATAAAAATGTAAAAAAAAAAAAAATCATGATTTTCGAAAAACCTTTCTCAGTTAAAACTTTGTACTCTGTCTCCTTTTCTTTGAGGATTTTTAAGATCAAAGGACAGGATATTTATATCCAAACCCTTACATGTACCTCTTTTCTCAGGATTTCCAAGTGTTGTGGGGTGTGTTGACGGGACAATGGTCAAGATAATAGCACCAAAAGTGAACGAGGCTGATTACATATGTCGCAAAGGTTATTATGCCATCAATGTGCAGGTACTTTGAAATTTCAAAACTGAATTTCAAAAGATTGATTGCACTTAGTGTACAAAAAGTGGCCCCCGGTTAATTGCGCAAAAATAATATATAGAAAGTAACCCAAAATAGATTAATAAAGCTATTCTTCTAGGTCTTAATTGCAACTTTGCAAAATTACAGGAATTAAAAGTAATTAAAAAATAAAGAACGAGGCTGTGTTTTGTAAGAGGGGTCACTGTAATTCATGAATTTCCATTGTATTTTTCAAATATATTTTTTTGATCAGTTACGCCATATATGGCTTTAACTCGAAAACATCTTAGTTGGATATAATTAATTTTTTTCATTTTATTTGAAAAAATACCCAAAAAATTCATATAAAATAGCTAAATAGCTTAAGAGCTAGTATCGACCTTTCAATGCTAAATCCCTTGTTTTAAAAGGATGACTCAAAGATCTATAAAATAAAAAGTTGGTGTGGCATTCCACCTTAATGTGACACAATTAAAACCCAACTCGGACAAGCGCAACATTCCGGAATTAACACCCACTAGAGGGCTTACTTAATTACCTTAATTAAAACTAAAGCGCCGTTTTCAATGAAAATTTTTGCAAGTAATGTATCACACTGCTAACAAGATATCGGTTAGGTGTAAAATTATTAAGATTTGAGTTAATTAGATAAAGTTAAAGGGGTTCAAAAAGGGACCACGGCACTATGCTCAAGTGGAATCATTCTTTTCTTCAAAATATTCTATAAAATCGACTTCTTTCGCCACAGTGAATTCTTAGTAACACTTTTCTCTCTCTCTTTCGAAAGGTTTATGTCTTCACATATATAAAATGATTTCAAAATATTTAAAATAGAAATTAAAAACATGCATTGGCTCCCAAAAATAAATCAGACTAAAATATGATTCCATGTTTAAACAGTACTTAAAAATTTCACCATTTCATACAGATGATGTGTGATGCTCGATTTAAAATCAGGGACGTGGTTGCTAAGTGGCCTGGTAGCGTCCATGATTCCAGAATTTTCCGGGAATCACACCTCTGCAGAGTTATGGAGGAAGGTAATTAGGCCAATAAAAATGAATTTTTTGGTTCTCAGACCCTCCCTCATCTCTTACAAGTGTGCCTCATTGACCCTCTCTATTGCTAAATTAATAAAATTAAAAAAAGAAATAAACTGCCTCACCATTTTTTGAGGTATTGTACAATTTAAAATGCCTCCCTCCCTCAACATATTCTTTAAAAAAAAAAAAGGCTTGAGAACCAAGGAATTAAATTTGCATGGCCTTATGAAATGGAAATCAATTAAATTATTACTGGATATTTCCAATCTGTATCCTTATATAATGGTTTGCTGAAGAATTTCTTGAATTTAATTTTAAGGACAGCTGCAAGGTGTGCTGTTGGGGGACTCAGGATATGGGTTAAAACCATATTTATTAACGCCATACTTAGCTACAGAGACATCAGCCACACAAAAGTTTAATGCAGCTCATTGCAGAACCAGGTTGGTACAATGATATACTCCCCCCCCCTTTTTTTAAATTGAGCATGCATTCAAATATTTGTATCATCACGTTCACATCCATTTTTTAATGCACAGAGTGACAATAGAACAGGCCTTTGGAGTCTTAAAGAAAAGATTTAACGCCCTGCATTCAGGCCTGAGAACCTGCCCAGAGAGGGCTTGCCGGGTGATCACTGCATGTGCCGTCCTCCATAACATCGGCCTGGATAGGGGAGACATATTAAGAGATGTCCCTGAGATCACTGCAATAAATGAAGCCTGTGAAGTGCCCCTTCCAGAGGATGTCCAGGGTCGCACAGTGAGGGATCACATTAAAGACACATATTTCAGGTATAAAATACACATCAAATTCTTTCATTCTGAGTGTCCAGTCCATGAAATTTCATACTTTGAACACTGTAGCATTATATAAATATAAAGACACCATTGTTTGTTCTATTAATACATTTATTTACTTCTTACATATTATACCATTAACATCTAATATTAAAACTTAGTTTTCAATTAAATAAAAGGTCCTTGGGTCACAATGCTCACCCGAGTTACCTTGACTTCTCCATCAAAAGAACTTTATAAGATTTTTCTCCCCCTACATTTATATGAAAATATTTAGCTCCATATTGTCAAAGTACCTGTATCGTAGGGTCAGGATATAATTTGAGTCCTTAAACCAAGACTAGTGCTTCAAACAAGACCGTGAAAATCCAGGTCGTGTCACAGAAGTTGCTGGCACGAAAAAGATCCTTCACTGCTCAGTGGTCCTATGTCCACTATAAATCTAAATTTGCAGTTATCCACTGATTAAAATCATTGAAAGAAATATTAAGCAACAAACAAACACAAAAGCTATTGTGGTTTCACCCTATCATGGAGACTATGATTTGAACAGACTTGAATCTGTACTGCTTGAGGGTGCTTTCACAATAACTTCATATAAGATTCTTGAATTTCTTTAAGATTACTTTAATTTTTTCCACTGGATCTTGTGAGCAAGTCCAAATAGATATTAAAAAGGGTTAGATGGACATTGGCCAAAAAGTGATCAGAAAAGCATATACCGTATTGTAGGTTTTCTTGTCGGGTGTAAAATTTGGCATTTTGTCTATTCAAAGGTATACCAAAAATTTTGGCGTAATTTATTTAAGCGGACGCAGGGTTTCAACCTTTTGAAAATCCACACTAATAAGAGTACTGACTATTTTAAAGATTGATATTTTAGCGGATTATCATCAAAACGCCAAAATAAGCCAAAATTAGCACCCCACTAAAATAACCCGCTATACAGTATGTGTACATGTAAGTATTTTTACAATGTACATAAAAAAGTGTACATGTATATTATACAAAGATTCACCATTTAATTCCCCTCAGTGTTTGGAGTAAAAGTTTACAAACTGCAAAATATTTTTCATGAAAAATGCCATAAATTACACCTCTGTTTTGATATTAATCCATACATGTGGATACATATGTATATCCTTTATAACCAAGCTTCATTTGATACATGGTACTGAAAATGAAGAATTTTTTTTTACATATCAAATGACTTTCACATTCTAAAGAGATCTTTTATGTTGTCATGACAAATATATAATTCTTTTAACTGGATCCTTTGCAAAATACCTGTAATATTTCAATTGAATCTATTAAAAATTTAAGTCTTGGTTGAATTTTGAGTTGTTCCTGTATTACCACAAGGCAAGGAGCATAACAGACAAGAGGCCCATGGGCCACATCGCTCACCTGAGCACAGTGGCTTGGAAAAAAAAAAGCAGAAATCAATTTATTATTGAAAAATCTAAACCCAAAAGTGGTTCCAGCAAATTCCTAAAGGGGAGAGGGTATGATTTGAACCAACTTGAATCAACATTAACAAAGGATGCTTGCATATAAATATGATCATTCATGCCTTTGCTATTCTTGAGAGGAAGATTTTTAAAGAATTTCCTTATATATTTCTTTGTAAAACTTTGATCAGCAATTGTGGCCCCGCCCTACTCCTGGGGGTCATGATTTGAACAAACTTGAATTTACACTACCTGAGGATACTTTCCTATCAGTTTCAAGTTTCCTGGCACAGTGGTTCTTGCGAAGAAGATTTTTAAAACATACCACCAAATTTTCACTATTTCTGAATTATCTCCCCTTGAATAAGGGCGTGGCCTTTCATTTGAGAAAAATTGAATCCCCTTTACCTAAGGATACTTTGTGGCAAGTTTGGTTGAACTTGGCCCAGTGGTTCTTGAGAAGAAGATAAAAATGTAAAAAGTTTACAACGGCGACAGACGACGGACAAATACATAGAGATTTGATTTATAAGTTATTAATGTCATGACTGTATGCCAAAATGAAAATTGTAAAGAAAGTGAATTGAATTAAATTATTATGGAGTGATGATGAAAAGAGTTGGTTATAACTGTTTCCAAATTCCAAATAGCCCTTGCCAAGGGAAATAACTCTTGTAAATGTGAAAGTCATCTATAAAAGGATATTAAAAATTAAACTTCATGTACTGGGAGTATCTGAGCCACCACCTCAGGATGCTCATTAACGAACATTTGAACTTTTAAGTTGTAATACGATTTCTTTAATTCCAAGACTTCTCTCTCTAACTTGATCTTCTGAATTTCTTCTCTCATCTTCTCATGCTCTAATGTCAGAGTTTTTTCTTCTAGGTCCTGAGTGGTGGTCTTTCTTTTCTTGGAGGATGGTTTACTTCTATCTGCAAAATTCCATGATTAAAAGTATAAAAAAGATCACAGGTTCCCAGAAAATCAAATCATCATGTGTTATTCTATCACAACTGAAATAATCGGAATGAATAAACTTGTACACATTATCTTTTTGTGATCTTAATTTTAAGGGGAGAATTATTTTCCTTCACAGAGAAATTTGAAACTGTTGCTATAAAAATGATATATGGGATTTCACAGTATATTCTCTTTGTTGTTTGTTTTTTTATTCATTTGTAGAAGCTAGATGTTTCTTTTAACTGTAAAACTATTGCTTATACATGCAAGAGTAAATAATCGTAATGCTATTGTGATGTTAAGAGTTTATTACTTTCTAAGTCGAAATGATCAAAGCCATTTATAGACCTGCATCCATAAAAATTTTGGGTAAAAAAATTGTGAAGTGCAACGTGAAGACCGGTCCTTCAGATGAGACCAAGGCTTGAGGATAAAAACCACACAGCTCGTTGGATAAAAATCATGCATATTCAACTACAGATCATGTAAGATCCAATATCCTATAATTTTACCTTCTGATTCATCTTTCTTTTTCAAAATTGATGGTGGACCACACACTTCTGATGCTGGATCTGTTTTGAAAAAATATTGAAAATAAATTTTTTTAATTCATTAAACTAAACAACTTTTCGTAGTTTAATAATTTAAAATTATAGTCTTATACCATTGTTTCATTACTATGTAGTTGTTGAGTGGGGTTAAGAGCAACAGTTTGTCAGACCGGCCTGCAAACTGTTGCCCATGTCTGACAGATCAACTGCCTTATATTTACATTTGCAAATATCTTTCTTAGATGAACCTATTGAAGAGAAAATATGTTCAATTCTGTGCGAATGTTATTTTAAACCAGAAATCTATTAAAACAAAACCAGGCGATACCGACACTTTTGACTTCAAATATTTTAAGAACTTGTGAAATATAGTTAGATTATTCTCAGCAGTGATCATAACTGTTTTGTTATATTTATGTAATAAAACCTTTAAATCAGTCTTGTATACATGTATTTCACTCAGGATTTATTTTTCTTTCCTGGCAATTCCATAATGGAATATAAACAGTAAGAATTCATGCAATTAGCAACCTGCTGTATCAATTCCTCCTGCTATTCCTTCAAGGGAAGGTCTTCCCTCCAAACAATCAAGAATGCACTGCTCAGCAACTGAAGGTGAAGGAGGCTTTGGGCCACCTCCTGTCTTTGGCCTTTTCATCTCGGAGAGTTTTCCCTTTGCTGATAAAAAAAAAATCCTTGTTTATGAAAAATGGAAAAAACATTGCTGACTGCATACATAACTACATGTACTATACAATCTCAGGTTACTGTAATAACCAGAAGACTCTGATGAGACTGTAGCTCTACTGGTATATACTTTTTTAAAAAAAAAAGAGAGAAAATTGAGTTAAGATGTCCTCAATAGATTAACTGAAGCGAAAGAAAGTAGTTCGAATTTTTGTTAACTGTGTCTTTGAAAACATTATGTTACAATTGCCAGAGCTTTACATCAAACGAACCTCTGACTGTTTGAGAGTTTATATAAGAACCAATGAATAGTAAAAATTTACTCTTTCTACGTTGGCAGTACAAAACATGCCAGGCAAGGCTACATACTTGTACAGTAGTGTGACATGAATGAGTTCGCAAAATGGCGTCGTCGTCACAGCTTCCGGTCCCGCTTCGATTTTCAGTGATGTATTTCTGCGTCGATAATTTATCATTCGCGATCCAATTTTATCCGAAATAAATAATTTTTATTCCTTTTAACCGTATCTCATGATTTTTTGGGTTATTCCCCTTTGGTAAACAATTATATCGTCTGCCTGGAAACATGCCTTCTCACGGAAAAGAAATGACACCCGATCAGAAAGAAATCATAATTAATTTATCTTCTGCGGGTAATTCAAGCTATAAAATTCAGAATTTGACTGGAATTAATTGCCGAACAATACAGAAATTTTTGAAGAGGGTACGAGAGCGAGGGAATGCAGAAAACATGCCGAGAAGTGGGGGTGCTAGAAAAACAACTGCGCGGGATGACAGGGTGCTTCTTCGAAGTGTGAAAGGGAATAACAGACAGACTCTGAAGGATCTTACGAGTAGATTTAATGAAAGAACACGATGCCAAGTATCTTCACGAACAGTAAGTCGAAGATTGTTTGAGCATATGGTTACAGACGTCATCCCATTTCCAGAACCATTACGATTTCTCGAGTTAACCGAGCGAAAAGGATTACATTTTGTAGAAGAAAATTACACTGGACTGTTGAGAACCACTGGTCATCAGTTATATTTAGTGACGAGACAAAAATTGTACTTGGAAACAACAGAAAAATTTATGTTTGGAGACGATCCGACGAGAGAATGCGTCCGAATTGCTTGGGTATAATGGGTGACAGGGAGACAACATGCAAGGCATCAGTGATGTTTTGGGGTTGTATTACGTACTTTGGAGTTGGGACACTTGTACCAGTGGATGGTAATATGAATACAACTAAATATATTTCCGTTTTGGATGATAATTTGTGGCCAGTTATTACGAGACATTTTGCTAACCGGCAGTGGATCTTTCAAGACGATAATGCGCCTTGTCATGTTTCGAATCGAGCTCTTCAGTGGAAAGCAGAGAATGATATTAACACCCTTCAGTGGCCAGCACAAAGCCCTGACATTAATATAATAGAAAACGTATGGAAAGTTCTAAAATACAAGATTAATCAACGTTTAAATGAAATCAAAAACAGTGATGACCTAAAACGCATCGTGTCTGACATTTGGAGTAGCCTCCCGGTTCATTACATTAGAAGTCTTTATAACAGTCTTCCGAGGAGAATACGCACTGTGCTGCGATCAAGAGGACAGATTACCAAATACTGAGCCTTTAAAGTAAGAAAATTTATTTCCTTTGATTTATAAACACCTTTAAAAATTTTTGCATTTTTTTTATTTACGTTTACAACGGCGGCCATTTTGCGAACTCATTCATGTCACACTACTGTAGATTCATTGTTGGGCCAAAATAAAATTATGTTTTGTTTGAAATTGCCTCCTGCCTCTTTGAAATGCCCCCTCCTGAAAAAAAAATTATTGACCAAAAGTAGAAAGATCTTTTTTTATCTAATCAATTTACTTTCCCTTTCCCATTCCATGTATCACATGCACCAAAAAAACAATGAAATAAAGTGTCAGATCTATCAGTGATTGGGATAAGCACGCGCCATGCGCCATAGTCGCATTAAATTTCAAAATGTCACATTAAAATTAAAATCACTGCGCCATCGTGGCGCATATCTACATACTTTTAAACTTTGAGCTTTCCCCCAAGCGCTTGTAGTATTTCCCAAAACAATCGTTGTCAATTAACGCTTGATAAAATAGTATTTAATGTCGTTCAATTAAAGCGTTCTTATGACTTTCTTTTCTCCAGTATCTAATCAAACAGTTACGTGTTTTCTGATTGGCTAATGCGCACGAAATAAACTAAACGAAAATCCAAAACGAAAATTTAACATGAATCGGAGGGAAGCAGTATAGATCTAAACCAGACTTTAAATCATTTTAAAGATGTCAAACATCGGAGACAAAAAATAAAGAATTGAAATTAATTGCAGTGTTTATTTTCTGACACTTGTGAATTTAAATATACTATAATTTTGTATCTTTTAACATTGTTTAATGTTGTCATTCAATAATTTGACAATTTCAATTCAACTGAAATTCTAACAGCAAGTAATCAATTTCAAGTTTGTCACTAGGAAATGTCCCATTAAAAAGTCTGTTTGGCGCATTGAATTTTGAAATGTCACATTGACAATGACTTGGAGTGCGCCATTGTCACATTTACTCCCTAGCTTATCCTAATCACTGGATCTATTTAAAATTATGTTTTTCTGTTGATGGTAGATACTTTTTTTTAAGCCAGAAAATGTATTTACTGTTTACTAAGATTTTTTTATAAAAAATTTAAAATTTATCTTAAATTTAAAAAAAATTTCCATCCCTCCCTCCTGTGTCTGAAACCCTTCAGACGGCAATTCCAAACAAACAATTTTTTAAGGATGGCCTTGTTTCAACCACATTATTGCTCTTTATCATTCACAATATATCACTATCTTGAAAAAATAATCATTAATCAGATATACAAATGTTTTTCCACTTATAATCTGAAATAATCAGATAATAGGAGGGAAATCATTTGGATATCTGGCGTTAACTTTCAAATATTTGATGAACACTTATATTACTCAATGTTTACATTTGTTATGCTTTTCTACTACACAAGTAAAAGTGGCTTACATGATATTCACGTGATTATCTTTTTATTTGAAAATTATGTGAAAATCATAAGAAAATTATATACATATATTTTCATGTGAATATCATGTGAATATAAGTTCATATGATATTCACATAAATCTTTTTTTGAACTTTCATGTGAAGTTTTCTTTGTATAATATTTATGCAATTTGCTGTTCATGTAAAAATTATGTGAAATTTATGTAAAAATCAAATGAAGTTTTCACATAAATTTCACATGTTTTGTTTTTCGTGTCTTTTTTATGTGAAGAATTCACATGAAATTTATGTGAGCCACTTTTGCCTTTGTATGCCAAGATATTAACAATTTAATAACCTCTCTGCTTCAAGTTGCTATATTGTTTGCTAGCCTCACCACCAGTTCTCTGCATTCCAGCTTGGTAAGACAAAGAGGGAAAATCACCACTGACTCTAAAGAACATAAGAAAACATCAGAACACAATTTGTCATGGTTCTTTCTGAGTGCACTTTGAGATGAATGCCATCACATTTTTAATTATACTGAAATAATTAACAATGTTAAAAAATTAAAAATACGATAATAATTTATCTATCACATGGGACATTAGTTGTTTGGGCCTGGTGGGGGTTGTAGAATTATTGAATGTTTATATTAAACCAAGTAAAAGTGATCTTGACCCCTTGAAAACACTAAACGGCCCAACCATGGATCTGTGCTAAGTTGGGTTACGATATTGCTATATAAGTTGTTGAAGTACAGAGGTGTCCAATGCATGATGAATTCACCCTATAGTATATAGCTTAATCAACAGTTAACCTTGACTATAACTTTTGAACCCATACAATGCCCCTTAACTTTCAGAACTTTGATTGCAATTGCGCAGAAAAAGACATTTCTTCTTGTTTTTCATCTAAGTTGAAAATGATCACTGCATCAAAATTCAAAATGAGATTTTCTGCACACCATGAGAATATTTTTTTTCTTCTAGAAATTAATTGATTTGGTAGCTAAATAAAGTTATGTAGTTAAATCAAGCTACGTAGCTAAATCAAGCTACGAACTCGTTGCTAAATGAGTAAATCTAGTGACTCATTCAGCTGTCATTGTACCAGACGTACCTGATCAAGAGATAACGAATAGCATGTTACTGAAAGCAGAACTGATAGAACTGATAGGCCTAACAATGTGCAAGAAATATAAAAGAAAGAAGTAAATTATGAAGTTATACAAGACTTAAATATATATGAAGTAGTAATGGACTTATCGTATGTTTCAATTAATTTCTCGTGTAACCGCCAAACAGGCGTCATCAAGCAGCCATCGTACGATCATGTGATCGCAATAAAGAAAATCAACAATGCGGAACTTTCCGGAGAACATACCCATTCACAGCGCCTGCAATTTCAGCCCATGCGGAGTCTTTGGCTGCTTTGCCACCCCCCGGGCCTTTAAATTTCCCAAACAAAACCGTCTCTCTTTTATGCACCTCCTCCACCAACACTTTCTTTTCCAATTCGGTCCAATTCGGTTTTTTTTTAATTAAATTTCCGGAACTAACCGAACAATACACGTTTTCTGCAGAATTGGCAAGAGCCATCGCCAAATCTGCATCTGTAGCCATTAAAGGGTGACAGGGTGACAGACGGCTATTTACATGTGACGTATGTGACGTCATTGATTGCATTGAAATACATGCGCAATGTAAATTTATATGTTTTCAACAAAAAATGTAAATATTTTGAAAGTGAAAGTAGAGTTCTTACCTGAATCAGCTGTTTTGTACATCATTGCGGGAAAAAGCACGCTCGTAACTATGTGATTTTTTTCTCTAATCTCAGCTAACGTGAGACCAATTTCAGAAATGTTGGTGGCACGGCATTTTAGGAAAATTTCAGGTGGGGCCACCAACCTATAAATATCTCAGCTCAAAACTCAGCCTCATATCTCCGAATTCTGCCTCACCTGAAATTTTCCAAAAATGCCGTGCCACCAACATTTCTGAAATTGGTCTCACGTTAGCTGAGATTAGAGAAAAAAATCACATAGTTACGAGCGTGCTTTTTCCCGCAATGATGTACAAAACAGCTGATTCAGGTAAGAACTCTACTTTCACTTTCAAAATATTTACATTTTTTGTTGAAAACATGTAAATTTACATTGCGCATGTATTTCAATGCAATCAATGACGTCACATACGTCACATGTAAATAGCCGTCTGTCACCCTGTCACCCTTTAATGGCTACAGATGCAGATTTGGCGATGGCTCTTGCCAATTCTGCAGAAAACGTGTATTGTTCGGTTAGTTCCGGAAATTTAATTAAAAAAAAACCGAATTGGACCGAATTGGAAAAGAAAGTGTTGGTGGAGGAGGTGCATAAAAGAGAGACGGTTTTGTTTGGGAAATTTAAAGGCCCGGGGGGTGGCAAAGCAGCCAAAGACTCCGCATGGGCTGAAATTGCAGGCGCTGTGAATGGGTATGTTCTCCGGAAAGTTCCGCATTGTTGATTTTCTTTATTGCGATCACATGATCGTACGATGGCTGCTTGATGACGCCTGTTTGGCGGTTACACGAGAAATTAATTGAAACATACGATAAGTCCATTACTACTTCATATATATTTAAGTCTTGTATAACTTCATAATTTACTTCTTTCTTTTATATTTCTTGCACATTGTTAGGCCTATCAGTTCTATCAGTTCTGCTTTCAGTAACATGCTATTCGTTATCTCTTGATCAGGTACGTCTGGTACAATGACAGCTGAATGAGTCACTAGATTTACTCATTTAGCAACGAGTTCGTAGCTTGATTTAGCTACGTAGCTTGATTTAACTACATAACTTTATTTAGCTACCAAATCAATTAATTTCTAGAAGAAAAAAAATATTCTCATGGTGTGCAGAAAATCTCATTTTGAATTTTGATGCAGTGATCATTTTCAACTTAGATGAAAAACAAGAAGAAATGTCTTTTTCTGCGCAATTGCAATCAAAGTTCTGAAAGTTAAGGGGCATTGTATGGGTTCAAAAGTTATAGTCAAGGTTAACTGTTGATTAAGCTATATACTATAGGGTGAATTCATCATGCATTGGACACCTCTGTACTTCAACAACTTATATAGCAATATCGTAACCCAACTTAGCACAGATCCATGGTTGGGCCGTTTAGTGTTTTCAAGGGGTCAAGATCACTTTTACTTGGTTTAATATAAACATTCAATAATTCTACAACCCCCACCAGGCCCAAACAACTAATGTCCCATGTGATAGATAAATTATTATCGTATTTTTAATTTTTTAACATTGTTAATTATTTCAGTATAATTAAAAATGTGATGGCATTCATCTCAAAGTGCACTCAGAAAGAACCATGACAAATTGTGTTCTGATGTTTTCTTATGTTCTTTAGAGTCAGTGGCGCTGGAATGCAGAGAACTGGTGGTGAGGCTAGCAAACAATATAGCAACTTGAAGCAGAGAGGTAATTAAAATGTTAATATCTTGGCATACAAAGGCAAAAGTGGCTCACATAAATTTCATGTGAATTCTTCACATAAAAAAGACACGAAAAACAAAACATGTGAAATTTATGTGAAAACTTCATTTGATTTTTACATAAATTTCACATAATTTTTACATGAACAGCAAATTGCATAAATATTATACAAAGAAAACTTCACATGAAAGTTCAAAAAAAGATTTATGTGAATATCATATGAACTTATATTCACATGATATTCACATGAAAATATATGTATATAATTTTCTTATGATTTTCACATAATTTTCAAATAAAAAGATAATCACGTGAATATCATGTAAGCCACTTTTACTTGTGTAGTAGAAAAGCATAACAAATGTAAACATTGAGTAATATAAGTGTTCATCAAATATTTGAAAGTTAACGCCAGATATCCAAATGATTTCCCTCCTATTATCTGATTATTTCAGATTATAAGTGGAAAAACATTTGTATATCTGATTAATGATTATTTTTTCAAGATAGTGATATATTGTGAATGATAAAGAGCAATAATGTGGTTGAAACAAGGCCATCCTTAAAAAATTGTTTGTTTGGAATTGCCGTCTGAAGGGTTTCAGACACAGGAGGGAGGGAGGGAAATTTTTTTTTTTTTTAATTTAAGATAAATTTTAAATTTTCGATAAAAATCTCAGTAAACAGTAAGGCTAAATACATTTTCTGACTTTTAAAAAAAAGTATCTACCATCAACAGAAAAACATAATTTTAAATAGATCCAGTGATTAGGATAAGCTAGGGAGTAAATGTGACAATGGCGCACTCCAAGTCATTGTCAATGTGACATTTCAAAATTCAATGCGCCAAACAGACTTTTTAATGGGACATTTCCTAGTGACAAACTTGAAATTGATTACTTGCTGTTAGAATTTCAGTTGAATTGAAATTGTCAAATTATTGAATGACAACATTAAACAATGTTAAAAGATACAAAATTATAGTATATTTAAATTCACAAGTGTCAGAAAATAAACACTGCAATTAATTTCAATTCTTTATTTTTTGTCTCCGATGTTTGACATCTTTAAAATGATTTAAAGTCTGGTTTAGATCTATACTGCTTCCCTCCGATTCATGTTAAATTTTCGTTTTGGATTTTCGTTTAGTTTATTTCGTGCGCATTAGCCAATCAGAAAACACGTAACTGTTTGATTAGATACTGGAGAAAAGAAAGTCATAAGAACGCTTTAATTGAACGACATTAAATACTATTTTATCAAGCGTTAATTGACAACGATTGTTTTGGGAAATACTACAAGCGCTTGGGGGAAAGCTCAAAGTTTAAAAGTATGTAGATATGCGCCACGATGGCGCAGTGATTTTAATTTTAATGTGACATTTTGAAATTTAATGCGACTATGGCGCATGGCGCGTGCTTATCCCAATCACTGATAGATCTGACACTTTATTTCATTGTTTTTTTGGTGCATGTGATACATGGAATGGGAAAGGGAAAGTAAATTGATTAGATAAAAAAAGATCTTTCTACTTTTGGTCAATAATTTTTTTTTCAGGAGGGGGCATTTCAAAGAGGCAGGAGGCAATTTCAAACAAAACATAATTTTATTTTGGCCCAACAATGAATCTACAGTAGTGTGACATGAATGAGTTCGCAAAATGGCCGCCGTTGTAAACGTAAATAAAAAAAATGCAAAAATTTTTAAAGGTGTTTATAAATCAAAGGAAATAAATTTTCTTACTTTAAAGGCTCAGTATTTGGTAATCTGTCCTCTTGATCGCAGCACAGTGCGTATTCTCCTCGGAAGACTGTTATAAAGACTTCTAATGTAATGAACCGGGAGGCTACTCCAAATGTCAGACACGATGCGTTTTAGGTCATCACTGTTTTTGATTTCATTTAAACGTTGATTAATCTTGTATTTTAGAACTTTCCATACGTTTTCTATTATATTAATGTCAGGGCTTTGTGCTGGCCACTGAAGGGTGTTAATATCATTCTCTGCTTTCCACTGAAGAGCTCGATTCGAAACATGACAAGGCGCATTATCGTCTTGAAAGATCCACTGCCGGTTAGCAAAATGTCTCGTAATAACTGGCCACAAATTATCATCCAAAACGGAAATATATTTAGTTGTATTCATATTACCATCCACTGGTACAAGTGTCCCAACTCCAAAGTACGTAATACAACCCCAAAACATCACTGATGCCTTGCATGTTGTCTCCCTGTCACCCATTATACCCAAGCAATTCGGACGCATTCTCTCGTCGGATCGTCTCCAAACATAAATTTTTCTGTTGTTTCCAAGTACAATTTTTGTCTCGTCACTAAATATAACTGATGACCAGTGGTTCTCAACAGTCCAGTGTAATTTTCTTCTACAAAATGTAATCCTTTTCGCTCGGTTAACTCGAGAAATCGTAATGGTTTTGGAAATGGGGTGACGTTTGTAACCATACTCAAACAATCTTCGACTTACTGTTCGTGAAGATACTTGG